TGACACACCTATGTCTGGTATTTGACATATATGATCTAAGAGATATAAACTTTCAATCTAATGGTTGGATTTTCAAAATTTACATTTAATATAAAGTTATTGAGCGGTGTAACACATAGTAAAAGTTATACCGATGTCGTTTGAACCCTCCTCTTTCTCTCTCTCTATATATATATATGATAAGATATTATGTTTAGCAGCTGAATATGCTTAGAACTTAGAATAAGTATTTTTCTTTATTTATAGTTGTTGCACTTAATTTTACAAGTTATTAATGTTTATTATCTTTTGTGTTTCATAAAATGGTTTTATGCTAGCATTTTAACTCATATGATGACTTTATATTGACACTTTTAAGAAAAAATCAAAGATAATGTAATTTGGAATTTGAATAAAAACATTTAAAATACGAGGCAAAGTTTTAATTTATTAATTATTTATTATTTAAAAAATAGGCTTAATTGTATTTTTATGTTAGTATTGTAATTGTGTGATTTTGGTCCTTAAAGTTTTAATTGATTAATTTTAGTCTTTCAAGTATTGGGATTATACGATTTTGGTTTTCTAAATTTTAATTAAACAATTTAGTCTTTTAAGTATCACAATTGTATAATTTTAGTCTCTCAAATTTCATAATTATACAATTTTTGACCTATTTAAGTTACATATATTATGATTTTCATTCACGTGTTAAATGATATCTATTTATTAGTACTAAAATTACTAATATATGTAACTTAAATAGGTAAAAATTTGTATAATTACGATACTTAAGAGACTAAAAGTACATAAAATTATAATACTTGAGGAACAATAATTATTTAATTAAAAATTTAGAAATCAAAATTATACAACTATGATACTTGAAGGATTAAAATTGTTCAATAAAAAACTAAAATTATACAGCTGCTATACTTGAATAATTAAAAACACTTAAAAAGTAAAAGACACATAATTATTTTACATAAAGACATTTATTGTATTAAATGAGAAATTATTTATTTCTTCTAATTTTAAGAAACTTTTAATTATTTTAAATAAATAAATGACATGAACAACATTATATAAGAATAAATTTAAATTTTTGTATGGATAAGAAAATTCTGATGTATTAATAATGTTTGTCTTTTATTATAATTTAAAATTAAATGAAAATAGAAAGGTGATGTAGAAGTAAAGAAAATGAGACAAAACTCTTCTAATTTCAATGATAATGAGCAAAAGTCAAACTTACACGAGAGAAGAAAAAAATATAGACAGTGAGTTAGAAAAAAAAAAAATTAAAACTCGAGTTGTATAAATGAATTTACGAGTAGAAAAAACCTTGAAAGGGAGGTTTACCTACTCGCTATGCGTGCTATTTTTATTTTTATTTTTTAAAAGGAGATTAGTTACGACAAAGAAATACTCCTTAGTAATAAATTAAAATGTACAAGCATAATCTCTTAGATCATATATGTCAAATACCAGACATAGGTGTGTCAAGCACAACATAAAGTGCAACATAAGGATTCAGACGAAGGTTAGTTAAGAATCAAACAAAAGTCAACTACATATCAGACGAAGGACAGCACAGACTGAAAACCTAAGTTACACTTAGAACTCCTTAGTCTACAGAGATAAATACAATATTGTACATTTGACTATGTATGCTCTGTCTTTGGTTTTGTTTCTTCTTGGGCTTGGAATCACTTTTTTCCAGCCGTTCCAGGTTTGGAGTCATGACATGTTTATAGCCTCTGTAAAATCTGGCTGTTGCAAGTATCCGTTGAAGCAAAATGTAGTTGTTCATGACTAGTTTGATTTCTCATTTAATGCACTTGATTTTGCATTAACTGTTGCTTCCTGTTTATAGGCATTGTGTGAAGTCTTCTAAGTTTTAACTGTAGTGTCTGACTTTAACTATGACCTAGAAATTTCTTGTCCTTTTTCGGTCATCGTAGCAAGATCGGATTGTCTGATCCCCTGGGATATGAGTAGGGGCCTTGTTGACTTCATGGGCCGACTTGTGTGTCGTGCATGGGACCGATGTGAGGCAGGTCGTTGAGTCGGTGCCCTAGTTGCGGTCCGGGGTTGAGAGACTGAGTGCTCCTCCTCCTCATTATGGTTGCTTGTATGAGGAGGATGATCGGAGTGGTGTCGAGGGAGTTGAGCGCGGATTCGCTCGTTCTCGGTGCGTAGTGCCGCCAGGTCGGCTTCATTAGCGGTACGCATTGCCGCTAGGTCAGTGTCGTGCTTGGCACGCATGTTTTGTAGGTCGGCGGCGTGTTGTTGCCGCATCTCTTCGACCTGGTCTATTAGTCTCCTCAACGCTGCTTCGTTATCCATGGTAGTTGAGTGATTTGCGTCGTCCGTTGTGCGTCTGCTATGGCTTCTGGTGAAAACCATAAGCGTGGCTGATAAGAGCTGTCTTGATCGGCCCCACGGTGGGCGCCAAATGTTCTTACCAGAAATCTGCTGTAGAGCTGATCCGCCAGGTAAGATTTGTGAGCTTCATTCACTAGTATGCTGGTGCTCCAAGACGGGAGTGGTACCTGCAAAAGAGACTCCGATGCTAAAGTTAGGGTTTGTATGAGTACGAATCGCGTATGTATAATGCACGTACCTTGATGTGTATTAGGATTTTGTTGGGCCTTGGGCCTGAGATTAGTTGTGATTTGATTAGGTAGAGGATCTCGCCTAGACCGAGATTCCCCGAGATCGGTTACGATCTATTTAAGTGCCGAGCTGACACCGCGTGGCACGTGTCCGAGGTCAGCTCGTGCTGTGGTACCGAGCTCGGAGCTCGGCTTCGGAGTACGGATAGTACAACACGTTTAATGAGTAAAGAAGTAATAAATTTTTTAGTCAAAAAATATATTTTATTATAATAATAAAACAAGAAGGAATCTACTTATTTCAAGATAAATTTCGATAAACTTACTCCACTCAATAATTCATGTTTTACATTAAGTATTTAACCGTTCAATTAAAAGTCTTTAATGTATAGATCAAATTTATAAAAATTATAAAAAAATTTAAAAATTATTTAATACCCCGTTTCATTAATTTAAATTAATAAATAATCATAAAAAAAATATTTTATATTATTTTAAATCTATCTAATAAAGTATCATATGATTTTTAATTTTTTAAAAAATTTATAAACTTGATCTTTATATTAATATTTTTTAATTTAATAGTTGAATTTTTAAAAATTTGATATAGAACATTAATTATTGAAAAAACAAATCTATCAATACTTACTTTTAAAATAAGTGAATTTTCTCATAAAAAATTAAAATTATTTTATTAGAGTGAAAGTAATTAAATAATAAAATAAAATATCAATATATTTTATTATATTAAATATAATAAGATAATTAAAATATAATTAATAATATATATTTTATAAAATAATTAATATTTAATATAAAAAAGAAAATGAACTAAACTTGGGTAACTGCCCCCACAATAGTCAACGTGGATCCGTCATTGATTATAAGTGATTTTTTTAGGTTCTGTGGACTTTTTTGGTCTTAACTCACGTAAGCTAGGACTTTGGAAGATCAAGGGTGGATTGAATCCATTTGACAGGTTTAGACGTAAATGAATCTCTTTGATTAAATACGTTTATTAAAGTAAAATTTTAATTATTACAAAAGATGTCAAACTTGGTTCATGAGAAACACAAGTACACTTAATTTATTATTTTTATGAGTAAGTTAGTTTACTCATCACGAATATGCTCAGGCTAATAAATTTTGAATTGGTTCAAAATAATTTTGGGCCTAAATTAACTTTATTAACCCAGTACATGTTTTGTATTAAACTAATTAAATTAATCTATTGTCTTTGACTCCATATGTAATTAATAACCGGTTATCTGAAATTTTACACCACCTCCCTAAATTTTAGGGGTTTTGGAAGAGTTAGATTTTAGACCAATAGTTATTTCTTTCCCACCCATTCTCTGTACACACATCACTCTCCATATTAAAAAACAAAAGAAAAAACTCAACTCATGATTCCACTTTCTTTCTTTGTTTCACATTCACGCTAAGTGACCACCATCAGCCCCAGTGCTTTAATTACTCACACCAGCGTCAAATCCGAAGAAATACGTGTTTTCTTATTCTAACGTTTTAATCCTGATTTAGGTTAACATTGTGGCCCTTAAAAATCACGTGTTTCAAAACAGTTTAATTTATCGGATTCCATAGCAACTCCCTTGTTGTCAATTAAAATAATTTGAAAATCTTTTCTAATAAATTTGTGTTATTTAATACGTAGTGAAAGTTGCTTTTAAAAGAGAAACAGCATCTCATTTTTTTTAAACATAAACTTTTAAACCAATTATTCTGCTTTGGGGGGAAAATACGTCAATTAGTGCGAAATGCGTTGTATTGCGTAAGGGTTTATGGCATTCATAGTAGGTTGCATGTGATCAAAGAGGGAGTTAGTAACTTTTGAGACAGGTTCAGGAGGGACAACATTCACATGAAAACTAGAGAATTCGTAAAAGAGTACCTAATTAATATTTGTTCAGTCCAACACTGATATCACATTTCAATATTTGTTCAAACTTCACCTAATTAGTTACATGATCGTGCCTTCAAATTTACCATAATTCTAACATCACATATTCACTTCCTGCATGCATGGTTCATTTATTTCTCGTAAAATATTAGTGGCCTTCCTTTCTGCCATTAACTCTTTATCCGTCAGCATGCAACACTGATCTAGATATATTCGAAAAGGTTGAGTCTAAGATCTTATAAATAAACAGATTCTTTGGATCTGGAGCTTATGAAGAAACCTCAAATCTTCACCAAACACACACACTTTGCGGACCTAGACTGTGAAGGCTTATATGCATGCATGTGCAACTGCTAAAGTGAGACCTGACCCATACCCTATACAATATGTGCCCCCAGTTGCATTGCACATGACCCCCATACCCCAGATTCTCTATATATTCCATTTACTCTTCTCTCACCCTCCACTGTTTCATACACCTCCAACACAACTAGCTAGGCAAAAGCAAACTAGTTCATCCACAATTTACATTCATTCACTAATTTACAAAATTTTCGACCATGACTGCCTCAACTCAATTTGCTGCTTCTCTGATCCTCCTATGTTTCTCTCACTTTCTAAGAGGTAGGTATCATGCCATGTAAATATTATTATTCAATGAGAAATAATACAAGAACACTTCTCTTTTACGCACACCACTAATTAATACTTATTATTTCTTTCATATTATACCACCTATATATCTTATATGAGGCCGTTATAATTATATCGATATAACTTTTACTAAGTATTACACCGCTCAATAACTTTATATTAAATGTAAATTTTGAAAATCCAACCATTAGATTGAAAGTTTATATCTCTTAGATCATATATGTCAAATACCAGACATAGGTGTGTCAAGCACAACATAAAGTGCAACATAAGGATTCAGACGAAGGTTAGTTAAGAATCAAACAAAAGTCAACTACATATCAGACGAAGGACAGCACAGACTGAAAAGCATTATAGACGGAAATGAAGTCTGTCCATCTATAAGATTGACCAGACCAAAGGAAGTCAAAGCATTAATGACAAATGTTCAAACGAAGATCAAGTCTTATGATGCAGATGGACTACCAGATGCAGACGAAGACTGTCGTGTAAGCATTTGAAGAATCAAGTCTCAAGGGATAATTCAGGCATCGTCTACAATCATACAATAAGCTCTCAATATGATCGCGTGCTGGAAGGAAAAGAAGAAGAAGAAGAAATGCAAGCCCAAAAGCCAAAGCATGCGTGTGTTATAAAAAGTACATTACTTTTTCAGATAAAGACAATGCCTCTGCTGCTACGATGACCGAAAAAGGACAAGAAATTCCAATATAATTATAACCCCACTCATCTTATATACATATATTTTTTTAATTACTCTTATAGTTTTTATAATTTTATCAACTTTACGTTAAAATTTTAATAAATAATACATATAAGATGAAAACAAAAAATATTGTGTACAATGTGAAATGAGATTTTTAATTATAAAAACTAAAAGTTAAATAGGTGGAACTACATAGATATACGATAATTAAACCTACATTTTTTTTATATTCATACAGTAGCATGTCACATTTGGTCATGATTCTAATTGTGAAAAATTTCCAGAAAATGTTATTAGAAATGTGAAACAAGTGTAATAATAATTCATAAAATAAAATTTTATTTTACGTGTTCATCTCTTTTAGTTTATTGTATAATTCATTGCATAATTATCATTTAATTTGTATGTGATTAACACAAGTACACAATTCATTAACTAGTTAGATAGTATGTTATTTTTTTGGATAAAAACTAAGTTCAATCCCATATGTACAATTTTATTTCAAAGCAATAATATTATTATTTTATTTTTGGATTTCATGCATCGGAAAATAAAAACACACGTTCTCATTCTTTAAGTTGGTTATCCAAACTAACCTCTAGGAACTAAGATTTTGTTGTACTTCTCCAGGGTCTAATTCAGCAACATTCACAATCGTAAACAAGTGTAGCTACCCAGTTTGGCCGGGGCTTTTGTCCGGCGCCGGAACGGCGCAACTCGCCACCACCGGCTTCGCCCTGCAGCCCGGCGATTCCAGCGCCGTCGCGGTGCCCACCGCCTGGTCCGGCCGCCTATGGGGCCGAACCCTATGCACCACGGACTCCGCCGCAAGATTCTCCTGCGTCACCGGAGACTGCGGCTCCTCCGCCGTGGAATGCGGCGGCGGAGGCGCCACCCCGCCGGCAACGCTGGCAGAGTTCACCCTAAACGGCGCAGGCGGGCTGGACTTCTACGACGTGAGCGTGGTGGACGGGTACAACCTGCCGATTCTAGTGGAGGCGCAGGGCAGCGGGAACTGCACGGCGGCGGGGTGCGCGGCGGACTTGAACGGTGGGTGTCCGGCGGAGCTGAGGGTGAGGACGGCGGCGAGTGGGTGGGGCGTGGCGTGCAAGAGCGCGTGTGAGGCTTTTGGAGATCCGAGGTATTGCTGTAGTGGGCCCTACGCGACGCCTGAAACATGCGAGCCAAGTTCGTACTCGCAGGTTTTCAAGAGCGCGTGCCCACGCGCTTATAGCTACGCCTACGACGATGCCACCAGCACCTTCACTTGCGCCTCCGCAGATTACCGCATCACTTTCTGTCCCTCATCCTCCAGAAGGTAATAAAAAATTGGTTTTTATATTTTAAATTCAAAACACTTTATTTAATAAAACTACATTTATGGTTGAGTAACTGAGTAATAATTCTTCACGCTGTTGGTATAAAAATTATTTTCTGTTACATATTATATTATTTGATGGTGACATGGATCACTTTCAAAAGCTTTAAATTTTGTTAAAATTAAATCAAATTCAAATGATTTTCAAAGAATTAAAACTATATTATCAAATTTAGCAGAATATATATCATCCTGACTTTTATATATGACTCTTTTTTTTTAATAATCTAGCATAGTCTTATACTGTGATTATATAAGTTTTTGGTCTTTTAAGTTAGTAGTTAAAAGTTAAATTTTATTACTTGCATACAAAAATCTTGTTAACATTTATTGATTAATTACAAATATAATTCTCTCTCTCCCCTGAGAATATATTAAATAACAAAAATAAAGATTAAAGACATTTTCTTTATGCAGTTCGATGAAGTCAGGGAATGGGAAATTGCCAGTAGCAGTAGATATCTCAGTTGGCCGAACCAATGCTGACAAGTCATCGAAGGTCATGCCAATGGCTATTGCCGCTGTTTTATTAACAATATGGTGGCAATTCAATTAGCCATTAGGTGTGGTGTGGGTACATTACATTGCATGTTTCTTTTTTTTTTTTTTTTTTTTTTTTTTTTTTTTGTCTTTTTTTCTGTCACAGTTCATTTAGGGATGAGATATATAGCAAATAGCAATCATAACTCGCCTCACAATTCCAGAATCGGGATTTTAAATCGTATTTTGGTCATAAAGATGGTTGCGTTATGTATATATTTATTGGCATTTAAGTTGCAAGCTAATGCAATTGTATAGTGTACAATTAGGGAGTGATACAGTTGCAGAGACAACCACAACTAAGATGTTGTGGTGCATCACATTGTGCTTTTAGTGATTTTGGACGCAAATATTGTCTTTCCATATCTATTGGCAAAAATGATCCAAAAAGAAAAAACAAACAAGGGCATTTTGCAAATTTTATTTCTGTTTCAAATGACTAAATGAGGACATTAGGTATCATTTGGATAAACGATCTTAAGTGATAAATATTGATAAAGGAAAATAACGAAGTTAATATAAACCCAATGCTTCACGCAAATTATTCACCACCAAACCAATTCTAGTAAATTTTCCTAAAAGTAGAGGAACGCTGATCAATAATGTGAATTCTATAAAATAATAAATGTCTAATATATTGTGTATTATTTGCTAAAATTATGAGAATTCTATTAAATAATAAATAACGTTAAAAAGAGGGTGATATGGATCACATTTAGTAAAAAGTATGGTTAATTAGTATTTTTCAGGTATTGGTTAAGGAATTAATATGTAGTTTTTATTGAAAATTAAATTAAAATTACATGAATAAGTGAGTTGTTATACGGTTTGACAAAAAAATATTTCTCTTTTTATTCATTAACGAGTGTATTTGAGGCATTGATTAACATTCTTCATTAATAAATTCTACATGAATTTTATCAAATAATAATGAGCGTGTTAAAATAAATATATTAAAGAGTAATTTGTTAATGTGTGTGTGAAAGAGAGAACCATTTTATGTGAAAGTGAGAGGAATAAATGTTAATCATCAAATCTTATCTTGAATTGATAAAACAAAAAAATTAAGTAAATAAAAGAGAAATTATATTTTTTTAACTAATAAAAAAAATAATTATAATTTTATATATATATAAAAAAATAATCTGGCACCCCCAAATTTTTTTTTTATGTTTCGCCACTGGACTTGCATGGTTTATACATACTTTTCTTATATAAATGTTAGGAGTTACCAACAAGTTTTGAACTAGCAAAGAATTACTATTCATATATGATTCTAGTGGTTAATCGCATTGTCGAGTAATCTTGGACAGGCTTTTTAACCCATTTGTTACTCTCATTGAAATATATATTATCAATATGATGTTGTTTTTAAAATCATATTATTGCTTTAAGGTAGCCAATGTTGGGTATTGTTTATCACATAGTTTTTTTCTTTCTATTAAAGTGACTCATATTATCAATATGAGACTGTTTTGAAATATATTATATTAAAGTATTTAATATTGGGTGTTGTTTTTCATACAGTTTTTTTTTCTCAAAATTTTTGTCTTAAACTATAGTGACACATATATGATGGAAGAGTATGGACCAAGAGTTCAACTATTAGAGTCATGACTACGAGATTATAGGAAGATTTGACTGCTTCAAAGCTTAGTAGGTCCAATGGGTTTGGTGGGCTCAGGGTACTCTTTACGTGGGATTTACAGTAATCCACCTTATTTATACTTAACTTTGTAGTGTAGAATTTACATATTTTTTGTCTTGTATTTCTGGGCCATCTAGATTAGGTTTTTAGGTCATAGGCTCAATGGGTCTATTTTTTTGGGCTTTATGAGTCTTGAGTATTTTGGTATCTAATATTGAGCTCATTTTGCTTTTCTTACTTTTTTCTATTGATTATATTTCATAGGCCATTAGAATAGGAAAATAAAGAGAAAACATAAATAGGCAAAGTTGCTAGACTCAACATTACATTTAGAGGTAATTTGAGTTGCATTTGGGTCAAATGTTTTGAGCCAAGGGTGGCTACACATGGGACGTCCCAAATCAACTTCAAATTACATCCAAATGTAATTTTGATGCACATTTGAACCGGTCACATGGCTTGGCACATGGATTGACCGAGAAATTTGAATTCAAATCCCATTAAAATTCAAATTTATGGCGCCCAAAGCAAAGGCATGGATTGACACCAATTGTGATGCTTCCTTGGCCTATAAATTTGGTTTCTCTATCTCATTTGAATCACTTTTGCATATATGAGAAATCTGAACTTTTTGCTTCAGCCATTCTCTCCCAAAACTCACCGAAATTAGCTTGCTTAGTGTTAAGAGTCTGAGAGCTTCTACTCTTGATCTGTGAGCATTCCTTTGCTCTCCTTGCTTGAATGCTTCCTTCTCTAGCTTAGGATCAAGTGTCTTGTCTTCTATTATGGAAAATCAAATCTAGAACTTATCCTCAAGGAAGAAGATCATGATCTTGGAGTAAGGAAAAGGAGGTTCATCATCCACTTCACTTGCCTCACTCTATCATTTTTGGTATCTAGTGCATGGTTGCTTCCTTTGAGGTTCAAGTATTCTTTTCACCAATTTTTTTGTGTGAAATTCTCTTCCTACTTATCTTGAATGTGTTTTGCTGATTGGATTTAATTTTTTGCAAATGATTTGATAGATCCAAGTTGTGTGATTGTGTTTTTTTCAATCCAACAATCACCTTGTGTCTAGGAATTCAACTTGTGCTAATTTTGATTTGTTTGAGTCTTGTTCTATTTTTTTCTTTTTTATTCGGTCAATTGCTTTAATTGCATGTGATTTTTTAATTTTGAATCATTTTAAGTTGTCTAGAGTCATTTTTAGTCCTTATAATGTCAAAAATTCAAGATATGCTTAGTTAACCTAGTTTTACAATTTTTTGGTTTGTGTAATTTGAATTTGGCCGAGACTTGTTCTTCTACTTTTGGTGCTTTGGTGCTTTTAACTTTACATACTTGAGTTCATATCCATTAGTAGATTATTGATGGATTCTTAGTGTTAGGTTTCTATTATGTCTTTTTGAGTTTCAATTCAATTTGCTTCTAAATATCAAGTCAATTCCAGTGTCAATATAAGTTTGATTTCCAATTTTTGGTGCATGACTTATTAGCTTTAATTCTAGAAAATTGTTGCTGGAAAATAGAGGATAAAAACAAAGAAAATGAAATACAAAGTGATTTAGAAGAAAAGAGAAAAGAAAGACAAAAACCCTAAATCCTAAATCCTAAACTTTAAAACTTACGTAGCACTTAAGAGCACAAAAAATGGGATGTGAGAATCCTAACAAAAAATTTCCGATGCTCTAGTTAAAGGGTATTAAGTCACTAAAATTTTGTTTTAGCAATGGCCTAATGGTCCTTTTTTTAAACAACTCATTATTTCAGAAAGATGCTTATTATTTTTCTCTCAATGTTGCTAATGCCTTCGTGAGTGAGATAAAAAAATATACCACATTTCCTTTGTGATTTTGTAGTAAAAAAAATTGTTATATTTACTCCCAACAAGAGCAAAGGAAAAAGTAATAAGATGTTTTTCCTTAGCATTGAGTTTTGTTCCGGCCAAAAGGTGGACTAGGGTTTTTTCCTAGGAGACTTCATTTCCGTCTATAATGCTTTTCAGTCTGTGCTGTCCTTCGTCTGATATGTAGTTGACTTTTGTTTGATTCTTAACTAACCTTCGTCTGAATCCTTATGTTGCACTTTATGTTGTGCTTGACACACCTATGTCTGGTATTTGACATATATGATCTAAGAGATATAAACTTTCAATCTAATGGTTGGATTTTCAAAATTTACATTTAATATAAAGTTATTGAGCGGTGTAACACATAGTAAAAGTTATACCGATGTCGTTTGAACCCTCCTCTTTCTCTCTCTCTATATATATATATGATAAGATATTATGTTTAGCAGCTGAATATGCTTAGAACTTAGAATAAGTATTTTTCTTTATTTATAGTTGTTGCACTTAATTTTACAAGTTATTAATGTTTATTATCTTTTGTGTTTCATAAAATGGTTTTATGCTAGCATTTTAACTCATATGATGACTTTATATTGACACTTTTAAGAAAAAATCAAAGATAATGTAATTTGGAATTTGAATAAAAACATTTAAAATACGAGGCAAAGTTTTAATTTATTAATTATTTATTATTTAAAAAATAGGCTTAATTGTATTTTTATGTTAGTATTGTAATTGTGTGATTTTGGTCCTTAAAGTTTTAATTGATTAATTTTAGTCTTTCAAGTATTGGGATTATACGATTTTGGTTTTCTAAATTTTAATTAAACAATTTAGTCTTTTAAGTATCACAATTGTATAATTTTAGTCTCTCAAATTTCATAATTATACAATTTTTGACCTATTTAAGTTACATATATTATGATTTTCATTCACGTGTTAAATGATATCTATTTATTAGTACTAAAATTACTAATATATGTAACTTAAATAGGTAAAATTCACAGCTTTAGAAGTGTCAAACAAATGTGGGACACCCTAGGTCTGACCTACGAGGGGTCCCTAGAGGTAAAACACAACAAGCTAAGCTTGTTGGCTTATAAGTATGAACTTTTTGAGATGGAAGAAAGCAAATCTATACAGACTATGTTTGGAAGATTCCAAAGCATCGTTAATGAACTTTCCTTCTTAGGTAGAACTTATGATAACTTTGATCATATTGACAAATTACTTCGAAGTTTACCCAGAAAATGGAGACCACAGGTCACTACTCTAAAAGCATCCAAAAATCTGGAAAAGCTCTCTCTAGAGGAACTCATTGGACTACTTAAAGTTCATGAGTTGGAATTGCAACAAGATGATGTTGGGAGAAGACAAAAGTCTATTGAACTAAATGTACAAAAGACAAAATCTACACCATCCTCCTCAAAAGACCTAAGGATCAATGATACGTCTGATGAAAGCTACAGTGAAGGGACCTGCGACACAGGCGATGAAATATCTTTCCTATCAAGGAAGATTCATTCAATGATGAAGAAAAAAGGAGGAATACGATGGAGAAAATACAGCAGACCTCCCAGAGAAAAGGCATAGTCATTGTGCTATGAATGTAAGAAACCTGGACATTACAAAATAGAATATCTAGAACTCGAAAAAGAAAAAGAGAAAAAAAAAGAGAAAAAGAAGTTGATCCCTTACAAAAAAGAAGAAAGCCATGATGGCCACCTGGAAGGACCTCAACAGAACATCGTCTCAAGGAGACGAAGAAGCAAACATATGTCTCATGGTAGACAAAGACTCATCATTTTTACATTAATCTAAGATG